TCATCCAATCTCAGACTCCATCCTCCCTACCCCTTGTCCCAGTCTCTTTGCCCAGCCTCCCAAAACCCCTCCCCTACCACACAGTACCCCCCATTTCCCAGTTTCCTTGGACTGCCCGTCCCAGACGTCCCCTCCCGCAACTCCCAGTTGCAGTTTCTGTCCTTTTCCCATCCCCCAGAGGCTCCTTGTCCCAATCCACTCCCCGATACCCTCCCTAGATCCAGCTTTTGTCCCCTCTGCATTTAAGTACAGTGGCTTCCTTCTCCATGCCTGGGCCCGGCAGTCACCTGCTCTCAGTTCCAGTGTTTGCAGCAACCAGGAGCAGCAGCCATTGCAGGGTCCCTCCCCAAAGGCTCTTAAGCAAAGGAAGCTGCCATGGGATAAGAGGGAAGGTTCTCTCATGGATCGGTAACTGGTTAAAAGATAGGAAACAAAGGGTAGGAATAAATGGTCAGTTTTCAGAATGGAGAGAGGTAACTAGTGGTGTGCCCCAGGGGTCTGTACTGGGCCCAGTCCTCTTCAACACATTCAGAAATGATCTGGAAAAAGGGGTAAACAGTGAGGTGGCAACATTTGCAGATGATACAAAACTACTCAAGATAGTTAAGTCCCAGGCAGATTGCGAAGAGCTACAAAGGGATCTCTCAAAACTGGGTGACTGGGCAACAAAATGGCAGATGAAATTCAACGTTAAATGCACGTTGCAAAATATAATCCCAACTATACATACAAATGATGGGTCCTAAATTAGCTGTTACCCATCAAGAAAGGGATCTTGGAGTCACTTGCAGGACTCTGGAAGTGTAGAAAAATCCTTCTCACTGCCTGTATCATCCTGAACTGCGGACTGCTCATTCTCCAGCTTCAGGAGTCTTAAAAATGATCTCAATCATCAATGGGACAGACACAACTGAATAGTGTAGCTGTCCTTAATGTGCGTCAAGACCCCACCAGGGAACTAGATGTGAATAAGATTGCTGACTGCTTCATCCAGAAAGCTACAGTGAGACTATCAGGGTTCCTTTCCCACTCTAAACTCTGGGGTACAGATGTGGGGACCCACATGAAAGACCCCCTAAGCTTATTTTTACCAGCTTAGGTTAAAAACTTTTCCAAGGCACAAATTCCACCTTGCCTTGAACAGTACGCTGCCACCACCAAGTGATTTAGACAAAGAATCAGGGAAAGGACCACTTGGAGTCCTATTCCCTCAAGCCCTGCACCCCCTTCCCTGGGGAAGGCTTGAGAATAACATCCTCACCACTTGGTACAGGTGAACACAGACCCAAACCCTCGGCTCTTAAGAATAATGAAAAAAATCAATCGGGTTCTTAAAAGAAGAATTTTAATTAAAGAAAAGGTAAAAGAATCG